CTACTCGAGAGCCACTCCCCGCAAATTGTTTTAATCGCAGCAGCCTGCCAGCTAGGGGGCGCTCCCGAGGCTAACAGGTCTCGCAGGGCACACCATTCGGCTCGACCGACAGGGGGCAACTCCCAGGCTCGAAAACGACGGGCGAGGAGGAGGTGGAGCGAGTCAGGGTGAAGGGAAAGGCGAAGGGAAGAGGTGAGGACACGTTGCGTTTTCACTCGCCTCGGATGCTCCGAGGTACTGGCATCCGCACGCGCCGCGCCAAGAACGGCACGGGCGGCGCGCGCGGCGAGCAGCATGTCCACGGCGCCGCCGTCGCCGAAGCAGTTCATCGCGTTCTGGAGCCGCATGACGATCGGGAACGTCTGCCAAAACCACGGGCTTCTCCAGCGCAGCCCGATCTCGGCGAGCGTGTCGTTGTCCCAGCATTGTGCATCCAGGAAGACGGACAGCTGCTGCCAATTGGTGATCGTGTCCTCCGCCGATCGCATCATCGTGGCAGCGGAGTAGACGTTGATCGAGTGCATGTGGAGCGTTGACCATGAAGAAAAGCCGAGCACGTCGGCCTTCGCGAGACACTGAGGCGGGAGGTGCCATATCTTCATCATTGCCCAGCCCTCTCGACACCTGATCGCCTTCGGGATGGGGAACAGCTGCGCGAGGCATCCGAGGGTGGGCAGAAAACGCGTGTTGTACAAATGGACAGGGCAGCCAGCACCTGCCAGCTCAAGCACACGAAAGAGCCACTTGCCACCAGCAGCTTTCCAGATGTCATTCAGGGTGACGCCTGGGCCAAGAAGTGCGCCGAGGTATTCAGCTCTACCGGCAACTGTCATGTTGCGCCACGATGGGATGTGAGTCGCCAGCCAGGCCTTCATCTCGCATTCGGCGTCGGTGCTGAACGGGGCCCCGAGCGGCGCGAGGACGCACTTCGGCAGTTCGAGGACCAGGCCAGCGAGCGTCTCAGCAGCGCGGGAGACACGCCAGAAACGACCGAGCATGCGCCTGTCGTGGACCACCGCACCGACGTCGTCAGCGCACACGCCCAAGGCACGGAGCTCGGAGATACCGACGATGAGCTCGAGGTGGACCACGAACGGGTTCATGCCGATGGCCCACAGCGACCCAGAAAGAGGGCAGCCCTGGGCAATGCCCGAGGCAGCAACGAGGAAGAACTGCAGGATGCCAGCCTCGAGGAGGCACGCTGTCGGAAAGAAGTGGAAGCCGAGCACTAAGTCCAGCAGCGCCCCCTCCACGCCAGCACGACGCAGCGTGAGCTCGAGCCAGTCGTGGGCCAGCGACGGGAACGCGTCGCCGAAGCCGAACATTGCGAAGTAAGGTTGCCTAATCTCACGATGGTCTTGACATCCCGCAGCACGACCGACGGAGTCGAGCAAGGTAATATTATTTAGAAAGTTCCTGCCCATCAGAAATCCACGCTGGGAAGCTGGACTCTTAGCAGCGAGCTCCCGCTTGATCGAGTGGTTCACTGCGGCCGCCACGATCTTGTTATCAGCATTTTTCAACGCGAGAGCCCTAGTGCGAGCCGCTTCACGGAACGCACCTGTCTGCAAATCTCCATCTTCCTTACCCTTAGGCAAAAAGACCATCAGGTGATCATCCCAGTCGTACGGGGGAGGGTGCCCCATGGAAATGACACGAGCAACATCAGCGAGGTCTCGGAGTGCACGAGGTGACTTCGCCCAGGCCGCGCACGGTATGCCATCGGGCCCAGCCGCAGAGACACGAGCAGCACCAGCAGCTCGGGCGTGTTGACGATCATCAGGAATCGAAGCGTCGCTGAAATCCATGAGAACATTATATCTGTCCAGGCATTTGTTCGCGATGTCGATCGGGATTTCCTTGTGCTGAAATATAGGTGACCAATGACGGTGAAGCTCAGCTTGAACATCTTGGCGCGCATCCACCACTCGAAGCCCATGGTCTTCGTCAGGGAGCTCGAGGCCTTGGAGCTTCAACGTCTTCTTGAATGGTGACCACAATGCCGCGCGACGTCGAAGAGCTTTGCGCATCCCGCTGATCATTTTGAACGAGCTGCCGTCGGGTGGCTTCCGTCGCTGCCGTTCGTCCAAGAGCCGCTCACGCTGGTCGGCATAAGCGTTCTGTGTCATCAGGAAGTCGGCGTCAAACTCATTGGCGTCCTGTAGTTGCACCTGCATGCCGGTGATGGAGAGGTGCCTGAGGGCGATCGGGCTGGACGCCAGAAGCTTCCGAGCCAATCGAATATCGTTGCGCCAGACAGCCCGAGGGATGGAACGGAAGACGACCAGCTGTGCATCCACCGACGTGTCACCAAGCTTGATGAGTCGATTACGAACATGACGGGCAGCTTCGCGCAGTAATCTCATGTGCTCAGCTCGGCGTTGGTAGGTAGAGAGACGATCCCATGGCACAGCCTCACATAACTTATCATACACCAACACAACTCAGGGTCGTCGAAGATGAATTGGGGAATAGATTGCTGCTCCGTGGGAGTTGTGCGTCGAGGCCGAGCTGTGACGATCATCAGGGGCATGGTCAGAAATGCCCGTTTCATGAAGGCGCTCAGGGAATAAGTCGGTTGCTATATCCAGCTGCCATTGCAGCGTGACCCGCGGGGGCATAGCCACGAAGATGCGGTCGATATGTGTCAGTCGCGGTACGTGATCTTGTGAGGTGAATTGCGTCGGTAACTCATTATCCAATTCAGTGAGCTTAGTGAAGATGCCATTCCATTGGCGAGAAAGCGGCCGCGGCGCAGAGTCAGCAGCGAGCCGAGCATTCAGCTCAGGGGCGCGTAGATGAAGGGGCTGACTCTTGTAGATATTGAAACCACCGAGCAACACGACGTTGATGCGATCAGGGGCAGACGCGGCAAGTGCTAAGTCTCTGGAGACGAGACGGTCGATCGTGTCCATGTCAGTGCTCGAGAGACCGAAGTTGTGCACGTTATAGCATATGATGCTGTTGCTCGCTTCCGACGGCGACGATGGAATAGCCGAGATACGGAAACGCTGCGCACGGCCAGGCACGATGACATCAGGAATGAACCGAGCATGCTCGTCGGCGTCATGAGAGCAGGGGGTGACGATTGCGACGCCGCCAGTGTCACGCTTCTCTCCGAAAGATGTGAATACTTTGTGTGAAATATTAAGACGATGCAGCTCCTGTCTAAGTCCCACCAGCCCGTTGGGCGTGAGTGGTTTAGCGAGCTCTCTCTGTTCTCAACCCCCCAACCCCCCTTCTTCCCCTTCGGGGAGGGGTTTACCCCTCCCCCTACCCCCTCCCCCTGGGCCTGGAGAGGGAGCCCCGCGGGTGGCCAGGGGGGTCTTTTTCGACGCCTGGGAGGGCCAAAAAAACGACGACCCTCGCGAGGATTCTGGCTCCGACGGGGGTGCCCTCTTGTAGCCCCCTCCTCTTCTGCGAAGCCAGAATCGTTGCTTTTACGATGGTTTTGGCCCCATTTTGGCCTCCCGAGGGGGCCGCGCTCATCTTCCTTCATAGCAAAACCATTGATTTTACAAGGGTGTTGGGCTCATTTTGTCCTTCTCAGGGGGCAGCGCTTCTTTGCGCTTCTGAGGAGGTCGCAAGAGGCCCCAAGATGGCCCCAAGAGGCCCCCAGGGGCCTCCCAAGAGGCCTCCAAGAGGCCCCCAAGAGGCCCCCAAGAGGCACCAAGATGGGCCCAAGAGGCACCCAAGAGGCCCCCAAGAGGCCCCCAAGAGGCCCCCAGATGCCCCAAGAGGCCCCCAAGAGGCCCCCAAGAGGCCCCCAAGAGGCCCCCAAGAGGCCCCAAGAGGCTCCAAGAGGCCCCCAAGAGGCCCCACGAGGAGCCCGAACGACTCACACCAGGACGAGGGGCCCGAACGACTCACACCACGAAGAGCCCGAACGACTCACACACAAGGAGGGGCCCGAACGACTCACACCAGGGACGAGGCGCCCGAACGACTCACACACACACGACGCGGGCCCCGAACGACTCACACCACGAGGAGCCCGAACGAGTCACACCAGGAGGAGGGGCCCGAACGACTCACACCAGGATGAGGGGCCCGAACAACTCACACCACGAGAAGCCCGAACGACTCACACCAGGACGAAGAGCCCGAACGACTCACACCACGAAGAGCCCGAACGACTCACACCAGGAAGAAGGGCCCGAACGACTCACACCAGGACGAGAAACCCCAAACGACTCAAATCACGAGGAGCGCTTTCTCTCCCTCCTCCTCCGCCTCGTCCTTCTCCCGCCCCCCCCCCCCCCCACCACAAGGAGGGTGTGCAAGGAGGCGGGGGGAAGGGGGAACAGGGGAGATATGCGGGGCCAAGCGGACACACGCCTGAAAAAACACGACTGTCGGCATGCTTCGCAAGAGCTGCTGCTGTGAGACGGGCTGGTGGGGATACGCGAAGCGTAAAGAATTGAATATCATTGGTGTGCACCCCCTGGATCGCCATCGTCGTTCCTCTCGCCAAGTATTCCGAAACTTGTTGCTTATGTCTGCTCGTGCTTCGGGAGCCAAGGGGCGAAGTACGTGCTAAATAGACCACGTGACTTTCTCTGAAGGCCCGTACATGGTGTCGAACTCTGTTTTGATGACGTCTTTAGGAACATGGTTATCAGTAACAGCACGGTAATTCCACTCAAGAGACGTAGGCTCCTCGGATTCCTCAGCGACCACCAGCCTGACGAGAGGGGTGTTGCCGAGCGCGACGATCCCTTGATATCTGCAGGCGCGGACACGGGTGTTGAGCTTGGTCGCGATGATGTCTGCAAGCTTCTTTGTCTGAGCCTCGCGTCGGATTTGCTGTGGGTTTTTTTTTTATCGAGCCCCACATATAGAGTAGTGCGACCTCCAGCCACCATAGAACAATCGAACTTTCGCCAGCTTCCGCCAGGATGCCTGAGATGCCGAAATGCGTGGACGACGTGACGTGCTGCCATAGCTTCAGATCCTTGAAATTGAACATGGAATCGCTTGCCAGGAGAGTTGCCTTCGACCTTCCACTGCGTGTCAGAAAAGCCAGCTGCCTCGATCCACGGCTTGACGGACAGGGTGACTTCTTCCAGAGTAACCATTCCTTTAGCATTGGCAACGAAGATCGCCTTGTTGGCAGGCCTGGTGAAGTTGACCGCGTCGGATATGTCGAAGGCTTTGGGGGCTTGGGTCTCCATGATGTGAAGCTGCTTCCGTATGTCTTCGAGCTGCTCGCGCATCTGCTTCTGATCACTTTCAACTTTGGCCACACCACGGTCGAGGTCGCGCAAGTGCAAATCGATCTCGTAGTGTTTGACCTCTTACTTGCGCACCACCGCGGTGGCGGCCTTCGACGTGACCTTCGACAAGTCGGAGGCGAGCTTGGCTTGGGAGTGCTGGGCTGTCTTGACGATATACTTGCGCATGTCGGCCAACACGTTCTCGAGCTCACCGCACTTGACAGGTTGATCGGCCTGCGAGGGGTCGAAGAAGGGGCGGTCGTCCACATCGTCGCACTCATCGTCGGGGTGAGCAGCCGTGAGTTCGTCATTGTCTTCCTCCTTAGGAGGCCTGGACCCAGGAAGAAGAGGAGTACCAGGGGTAGCAGTGCCTGCAGCGACCTCAACTTGAGCTTGTGCTTGAGTGGCCACCCATGGGTCTTCAGTCTGCAAAATATCACGGCGAAGGTGAGGGCTCCGCGAGCCAACACGGGCAGCAGATGCAGCATCTTGGGTGCCACGATCACGCCATCGGCCAGCGCCAGCAGCACCACTGCCAGCAGGGCTGGGAGGTTTGCGCGCGAGAGACCTCCGCCCGCCGTCAGTGTCATCGCGGCCTTCAGCAGGCACAGACCCTGCGGGACTGGAACGGAGTCTGTTCGTGAGTACACCAAAGAGACCAGCAGGTCACGGTAGCAGCGTGGTATGACGAAAATAAATCCTGCCTCGGCCTTGAAGCCCTCTGGAAGCAGGGATCGTCTGGTGCCGCAAACGGGCGCTATCGCCGACCTCGAGACGCGGTGGCGACTTGAGCAAAATGGCTACGGATATATATATATATATATATATATATATATATATATCCATCCATATATATATATATATATATATACATGTGTATATATATGTGTATATATATACGTGCGTGTGCAATTCTCCATTCGCGCGTGGGCGCGCGGGCCTGGTAGCATGAAGGCCGTGTGCGCGTGAAGGCCGTGTGCGCGTGAACCCGTGATTTCCTCGCGCATCGGCCACAACGCCAGAGAGGTCGCGCCTTACCCACAGCACCGCCATCCTGCGTGAACTCCCATGCGCGGTGGGCGCCAGGATGCCGCTGCACTGGAGGAGGTGGCATGTTTGTCAGCGACAACGCGGGGCACGAGGCGTCGGATAGTAACAGCTGGGACGCGGCAGGCCTAACTGCGCACCGATGCGAATGCAAAACGAGAAAAGCGGCCGCGGAGAGGCATCGGCCGAGGATCCAACAAAAGCTGCATAAACACAAACTCCTGGAGCTCCGCGCGGATGTCTTGGATCGGCGCTGGAACCCGCTGGCGGCGCCTACGGCACCGCCCCTGGTGCGCTCCGTCACGTTCTCCCTGCTGGGGTGAACTCCCCCGTCAACGTCGCCCCACGTCTGGCAAATGGCCAAGTGCCGGGTTGAGTCGCTCGAGCTGTCCAGCTTGACTCTTCCTACTGCTCCTCCTTCTCCGCCTTCTCTCGACCCCATCCGCCGCCTCCTCCTCCTCCTCCTTCTCCTCCTTCTCCGATTCTCGTGCAGCTCCTCCTCGCCCCTCCTCGTCCCTCCTTCATCCTCGTCATTCTCCGTTTCTGTCAGAATAGTGATCACACTCGCCCCGTTCTCCAGAGCTCCTCTTTCTCTTCCTTCCGATTTCCTTATGCCTCCGCTCCTCCTCTTCTTATGACTACGATTCCTGCCATTATTATCCCAATTCCTTCTCCTCCTCCTATTCCACCTCGACCTATGGCCCTCCTTCACCTACTGCTCCCGCGCTCACCCTCCTCCCCCTTCCTCTCCTCCTCGTACTCCTCCGTCCTCCGTCCTCCTCTTCTGCCTCCTCCTCCGCCGCCCTCCTCCTCCCGACTGCTCTTTGCCCCCCCTCCTAGTTCCTCCTCCTCCTCCTCCTCCTCCTCCTCCTCCTCCTCCTCCTCCTCCTCTTTGCTCTTCCTCCTCCTGCTCGTCAGAAGGGGCGGCGGGTGACTGTGCGCTGCGAGGCACCGTCTGGCGCCGCCTCTGCCTGCGCAGCAGGGGCGCGACCTCCTCGGAGCCTCCGCCTGCCAGCGCCCGCGGGCGGTCCGGAGAGGGAAGCGGGGAGGAGGAGGAGGAGGAGGAGGAGGAGGAGGAGGAGGAGGAGGAGGAGGAGGAGGAGGAGGAGGAGGAGGAGGAAAAGGAGGAGGACGAGGAAGAGGGGCAGAGAGGAGGGGCAGGAGCAGCAGGGCGAGGGGGGAAGGGGGGGCGGCACAGCGAAAACAGGAGGAGGGGAGGCGGAAGGAGGGAGAGGATGGGGAGGGGAGGGGAGGAAGACGGCCCGGGAGGGGGAGAGGAGGAAATTGCAGAGGAGGAGCATTGCTTGCGCTTCAACACAGAACGAGTTCGACTGCCCGCTGTTAAAACGGGGCATCGACTATTCGCCCCCGAGGTGAGTGTAGGTAATGCTAGCTTCCAAGGAACATATTTCCTTCCCCTCCCTCACACACACACACATTCCCCCATAACCTTCCCTGCCCACAGCTGCCACGCCAGCTTGGTGCCAAACTCCGGGCGCCCTGAAAGAAGAGCCGAAATGAGGAGAAAAGTTCGTTATTTTGGTGAGCACCAGCCAGGGCATCGCCTAGGCCCCGACCATGTGCCGATGCCAATCACCAGCTGAAGCTATGACCGCATCAAAATCTGGCGACCATGGGGGAGGCTACGCTGAGCGAGTTGGCTCCCGCCCAATCCAGCACCTGTCCCTCATGCTCCACACGGCAAGAAATACACCGCCACTCCCTACTCACAGCTGCTGCGCCTGCCTAGAATCGAACTCAAGCAGCACCTAAAAGGCGACGAGGAGGATGAGGAAAAGAGGTGAGGAGGAGTGATTACGGGATGGATGCGTGACACAGCGCGTGCGCGCACATGTGTTGCACACGTATGTTTAAGCATGTCGTCACTGTTTCGAGGCAGCCGAATAGACTCTGAACCCAAGGCTGAGATTCGCAGCCTCTTGGTGGTGAGGTGGGGCCGGCTGCCCTTGCTGATGATGCATCTTCGGTTGTCGCATAATTGCTTGGGTTCGATTCATCGTGCCGGTCGTCCTGATAGCCACCAGGGCGGAGCATGGGGTGACCCTCTTCCCTGTGGCTCGTGCTTTACGAGTTTGCGGAGGCCGTTCAACTTGGACCGCTCGCCCTCGAGCTCCTGGACGCGCTCCTCGATCGTGGCACTCGCCGTCCGCCGAATCTCCAGCAAGGCCTGCAAATGAGTTTTCTCACGCTCGTCGAGGTAACATTGGGCTGGTCAGAAAAAAAGAAGAAGAGGAGGAGAAGGAGGAGGAGGAGGAAGGAGGGAGGGAGTGAGGGAGGAGAAGGAGGAGGAGGAGGTTCTGACGCCACAGTGTAACCTTAGGCTGGTGAAAAAGAGGAGGAGGAAGAGGAGGAGGAGGAGGAGGAGAGGAGGAGAAGAAAGAGGAGTAGGGAGGAAGGAAGGAAGGAGGAGGAGGAGGAGGAGGAGGAGGAGGAGGAGGAGGAGGAGGAGGTTTTGACGCCACAGGGAACCCTTAGGCTGGTCAAACAAAAGAAGAGGACAGGAGGAGGAGGAGGAGGAGGATAAGGATGAGGAGGAGATTTCCGAGATTTCCCCCCAGGACGACGTCCCCACCCCTTCCTGCCTGCAATCCTGCAGGCGGCGGCGGCGGCCGCGGGCCTCCTCAAGGCCTCCTCAAGGCCTCGTCGCCGACCTCCATGGAGCCGCAGGTCTCCCTGTCCAGGATGATGCTGTTGCTCATCTTGGCCCATCTTGTCCATCTTGCTCAGCTTGGTCTTGTATCCCTGCCGCCGCTATTTATTATCGTAGGGCCTCTGGCCTCAGTGCTACGACAGCGTTCGACGCTCGAACAAGATTGATCAGCGATCATCTTCCCGATTTCCATATCACAGGCCCTTCGTCTTATAGCTCGACAGTTGCTCTGCTCTTCTCCTGCCGCGATGCCTGTCTCTCTGGGAGCGCGAGGGCGCGATGCCGCCGTGCTGGTCGATCTTCTCAGTATGCTGAGATGCGTCCGTCAGTGCTGGTTGCTGTCGTGCACTCAGTGCTGGGCTGCGTCGGTCAGTGCTGGCTGCGTCAGTCTATGCTGAGCTGCGTCAGTCAGTGCTCGGTGCCGTCGTGGTCCTTGCACTGCTTGGTGTTGCTGGAGTCGCGGTTGTGTTTGTCGGCTGCTCGTTGGCGTGCTTTCTTCTTGCTCTTACCACATAGCCGGCTCGTGACTTAGGTGGAGGTGGTGCGCACTCCTGCTCGAGTTTCTCCGATATGTAGTGCTTCGCCACGCTGCCGCATTTGTAGCAGTAGTACCCTTGGTCTCGTTTGTGCCATTCCATCTGGTGGGAGTGATGGGCGCGGCGTCCTTTAAGTGTTAGTGGTGGCTTATTTGCTGTCACCGCGGTGCTGCATGGGGAGAGTAGCCACCATCTTGCTGTAGTGCTGCGTCTTCGGGGGGCTGACTGCGCACATGCACTGCAGCGCCATCCTGTCGGAGTCGGTTGTACTTGGCGCAAGCTCTGAGCCGCCAGCTCGTCGAGGGTTGGAGCTGGAGGTATTCGCACTTTGGCTTCTCTCCTTAGTTTTGCCCGATCGTCCCAATTCATTGGTGGTCGTGGATCCATGCAGTCCAGGGTGGCTTGTGCAATACGTTGTCTGACCAGGTTGCCAACTGCTCGTGCCCACTCGTAGCGTCCAAGCTGTGCTGCGGGTATGGCGTGTTTTTCTGCTGTTGTGTCGGCTTGTTCGTCTGCTGTTCGGTTGCCAAGCCACGTCCATTCTGGTATAGTTCTTCGTCGAGCGTCTTCCCATTCGAGGTGGCTTTACATATGCCTTATCATGATGCAGTCGTCACTTCCTCCCCGTTGGCCGATGGCGTCCTTGATCCGCTTCCAGATGTTGCCATTGCCGAAGTGGTACATTTTGGTTATGTGTCGTTTGCACCTCCAGTTCTTCATCAGTACTTCTGAGTCTGTCCAGTAGATGATGGGACCCCGCGAATTCTGTAACACGCTGAGTAGTGCCCACATCTCTGCTCGGTTGTTCGTCTGTCTTGGTCCTGGTAGCGGACCCCGCGTAGTTGCTCGTACAGTCGTGTGGTTCATGCAAGCCCATCCCCATCCGCACCTACGGTACCGTCGGTCTGCTGACATGGCTCCTCCGCTGCCGTCACCGCAGAAGTGTAGTGGGGAGTCGTCCGCGATCAGAAGGCCGCGCTGGATGTCGCCGTCGCAGGTGTGAGAAGGCTCCGTAGTGCATGGTGGAGGGCAGGTCATGGGTCGTGGCGTAATGCCTCTGAGCCAGAAGGCTGCGTTCGTCTCGATGCCCTCTTTTGCTCGCTCTTTGAGGTGCTCTGTTCGTTCGTAGATGATGTGCTGTCGTCTCTGTGGGCAGTCTCCCCAGGCGCGGTGGAAGTCGTCGCCGGGCGCTCCACATTCGCATCGGTTGCCTGGAGGTCCTTCGCTTCTTAAAGATAAGAAGCGGAGCTTCGCTTCTTAAAACAAGAAGTGAGATCTATATGCATGCGAGTAGCGTATGATCAGCCAAAACGGCTTGAGCCAAAATGGTACCGCAGCGGATGCCGCAGTGGATGTCTTGAGCCAAAATGGCTACGCGAGAGGACAAGAAGGAGGGAGGGAGGGAGGAGGGGAGGAGGGAGGTCCTCCCTCCTCCTCCTCCCCTGCACCTCCCTCCTCCTCCTCCTCCTCCTCCTCCTCCTCCTCCTTCTCTTCCTTCTCTTCTCCTCCTCAGTCTCGTTCGTCTCCTCGCCCTCCTCTCCCCGCCCGCGGGTTCTGGCTCGCGCTCCTGCGTCGGGGAGGTGGTCAGCACGTAGCCGCGGGGCGCGGGTGGGCCGAGGGCGCCCCTCGTCGCCGCCGCCGTCACCACCGCCGCCGTCTTTGTCGTGGATCCACGACAAAGACGCGGAGGGAGGAGGGGGGTGGGAGAGGAGGAAGGCGAAAGAAGAACAAATATCTTCGATCGGACGCAATGCTTGGCAATGCTTGGTGTCGGCGGCGGGCCCCGTGCCGCCGTGAACGCGGAACCCGTGCGGAGGAGCTAGAGGGGGCGAAGGGAGATCATTAATGATAGGAAGTAGGTAGATCGAGGGGGGGAGGCGGACACTGGTATCACTATACAAACCAGTGTCTCGATCAATCACCGAGCGCTCGCTTCCCAGGCTTGCCGATCACTTTTGACCAAAACGCGAAGAAATGGTACGACCAAGTTGATCTGTGCAATGTTGCTGCAATATCAGCTGCAGTGCCATTGGCGCTCTCGTCCGTGAAGGTTGCCTGTTTGCTCGGCCTCCCCATGAATTTGCTCCTGGGGGAGAGGATCGCAAAGAATCCAGCGGCGTCCCATGGTGTCCCGAGTTCGTTTCGGACCCTAGGGCTGCGGTGGGTGTTAACAAGTCGTGCCCCACTCGATCGTGTTCCCCCCCCCCCCCCTGTGTCCTCCAGGCCATGTGTAGGCCCAGATGTTGCTTCGGTAGAGGGTCGTATTTGCACCCAGCCATGTACCTGTTGAACAACTTTAGGCAACCTAGCATATCCTTAGGATCGACAAAAAAAAAGGACGCCAGAGGAGGAGGGGAGGAGGAGGAGCGGAGAGGAGGGAGGAGGAGGACGATGAGGAGGAGGAGGGAGATGAGGATGAGAAAGGATGAGGAGGAGGAGGAGGAGGAGGAGGAGGAGGAGGGGGAGGAGGAGGAGGAGGAGGAGGAGGAGGAGAAGAAGCGGAGGAGGGGAATGCCCCGTTCCTGCACTTCGAGTGTTCGCATTGGTCTTGTATTGTTCCTGAGTATAACCATGAGTTTTAGTAAGGCGTCCCCTGCTTGTTTCAAGCCTGTTTTATCGGCTGGCAGCTTGTACTTGTCAAGCAAGTGACGGCAAAATCGAACAAGTTGTCTGCATTCGGCAGCTTTTGATCGCACCATATATCTGTACTCCTCGCCCATGTTGTGAGACGTCCAATCTGATATCTTCGAAAACCGATACTCGGGGTCAATGGTGGATTGAGCGCTGTGCCAGTTCATGAG